TAAAACTTGAGACAGGGTCTCGCTAAGTAGCTGAGGCGCATCTGGAATGAGTAGTGCAGATGTCCTTGGATGTGTGATCTTCCTAGCTCAGATTCTCCAGGGTTGTGATGACTGGCATATGCTAACATTCCAGGCTAAATTCTATTTTTTAAATAGAAAACAAAGCCACTCCAATGCCACATACTTGTACTTCGAGCTACCCAAAAAGATTTTTTAAGCCCCAGAGTTAAAGGTCAGCCTAGAAAATACAGTTGACATCTTACATTAAAAACAAAAACAAAAACATGCTAGACTAAAATAGTTACAAAGAGGAATTTTGTATTTTTTAATTTGAGTGTGTGTGTATGTGTTTGTGTGCACATGTGTCTGTGCATGCATGTGTAGAGATCAAAGATGAATGCTGGTGTCTTCTATCAGTTTCGACTTTAGTTTCTGAACCTCACAGATTGACCAGACTGGCTGTCCAGTAAACCCAGGATCCTCCTATCTTTACCTTCCCAGCGTTGAGGTTACAGACCTCAGACTCCATGCCTGGCTTTTTATGTGGGTGTTGGGGAACTGAATTCAGGTCTTTGTGCTTGTACAGTAAACACTTTACCCAATGAGACATCTCCTTGGGCACAGAAAAATAATTTTTAGTAGGTAAGTTCACTGTTATATTTTCTTCCACAAAAATTTGGTCTTCAAGCTAAAGTGGAATAAAAATTAAAAACCTTTGCTCTGGAATGTAATACTGAATATGTTAAAGCTGTAATGAAATGCTTCTTCTAATCATGTGGTTAATAAATTTTAAAAAAAATTAAAAAAAAATAAACTTAAAAAAATTAAAAACCTACACTTTTTTAAAAGTAAAACTTCCATAAATAATTACCTATACTGGTATTTTGTTTTAAGCCTTCAAGAAGAATAAAGCAGGTGGTTTCATGTTATGGAAAAATTAATTTTCTTGCTTTTGTGCGAGGGCAGAGACTTTTGTGAGTTTATATATATTCCTTACCCAAACCCTCATATAAATGTTGTCTGACACCCAGTAGATGTGCACAAATTACTTGTTGAATAAATAAATGACCCCACATAAAAAGATTTACAATAGGACAATTACCTAGGAATATAACAATCCGTTTCTCACTTTTTAGAATTATTGTCCCAAATCATGTGTATGATAAGGCCTTAGAGAACTACGCATTATCTACACAATCATAATTTTCTAGTTGTAATAACAACTGTAGTGATGACTTTCTGGTAGCAAGAAGTAGGTGCTATAAACACTTGTAAAAGAAAACTTTGATACCAGCATGTTCTAAAACATCTTATGTGATATAAAAATCTCGACAGAATCCAGGTTGTGAATGCACTTGGAAAAATCAGGAGTCGTTAGTGTCCCAGGTGAAGAGAAGCATTTCAGAAGCAACACCAGAAAGACAAAAAGACAAAAGGTTTATCTGAGGCAACATGGCCAAGGTATTTCATGGGGTTTCCAAATTGCTCCTGGCATCTTTTTACTGGTTTCCTGGTATTAGTCATGGGGTTTCTGTCAATTGGGAAAGGGCCTACAGCAAACACCATTAGCAGGTTTTTTTTTACTAATGTTTTCTCATATAGTAAGGAGAAATGGAAAACTATTATGGCTTTTTCCATGTGTATTTCCATAAGCTCCATTTACTTTGCTAAAATAAGGATGACTCTATAATGTCTCAATAACCCATTCTTTAAAAGAAGAAAACCCAGAAAAAAACTATAGCATTTATCTAGTTCAAAATGAACTGTAAATATAACATTACCTATGAGAATTACAAAGTTTGTTACAAGATAAACATTACAATTAAGACAGAGTATCTTACAGTAGTCAAAATAGCTAGGTGAAATCTAGTTAGAATAACAACAAAAGTTCAAGAATAATTCACCAAAAAGTTTAATGATTTTCAAAGAAATAAGGTATTCAGCCAAATCAGAACATGTATTTTGACCATATTGTCCCTGAGTATGTTCTAGCAGTAGAAAGATATACCCAGGGAGGAACAGAAATAAGTATTTGGTCTACTGAGAGATAAAAGGCAAATAACTCCTAAATCTCATGAAAAAACATTAACACTCAAAGTATTAACTTGGTTTTTATTTTAATTTTTCCATACAATCGACTAGTAACTTAGTCATTGAGTCACTTAATATTTCATGATTTTTATTTGATGATTTATCCTTACATCTTTGAGAAGCAATACAAGCAACTGTTTTTTATAAAGGCTTTTGAATTATATGTATGCTGTTTTTTTTACCATTCTGCATATTATTTGAAAAACACCTTCACTCAATGAATACTGGTATTTTTTTTAAAACAGATTTTCTAATATCTTGTACCAATAACTAAACATGAACCTTAATAAAATATACAATACTATTTCACGTAAAAATACTCAGGTACATATGTAGTGCAAGAATTTTAAAAAACTAAAAATTCCATAATCCACAGCGTAAATGAACAATTATGCTAAGGCCTCTTAATAACTTCTCTGTACCTTTGCAGCCCTTTATTTTTATAGTATGATTTAGTCAACTAGAGTTACCTTCATATTTGTACAGTGAATGTTTTGCTTCTTATAATTTTGTAGAGTTTGATTAACTTAACTTTGTTACAGTCTCTAGTCCCTAGACTGGAAACATTAATACTCTCAGACACTAAGAGACTTCTTGCTGACTTTACATCACATGTACTGACATCTGCATAGATTGTATTGCTGCAGTAGCTTTTTATGTAGGTCTGTGTTCATATATATTTTTTAAATGGAGACAGATGAAGAAATGTTAAATTGGTGGCCTCTATATTTCAAAATGTTTCTCTCAGTAACTATTCATGCAGATAGAGAACGGCCTATCTTTTCTTCAACAAGGATGCACATGGCCCAAAATGCCTGCTTATTAATTTATACAAGTAGAATAAAAGAAATGCTAGAATTGTCAAAAGATTTACTGATTCTATCCTGCTTCTACAAATATTTCAGACATCTTATTAAAAATTTAAAAATAGGAAAATAAAGCATAGGTGAGTATTCAGTAGAAGTACTGTGGTTCAGAACAGAATCACTAAAAGAGCTATGAGATCTGATAAATCCATTGTCCAGGTAATTTTACACAGAACCAAAATCAAGGCTAGGGCAATAAGGACTATTAAAGGAGAGAAAGGAAAAGTCACTGACTATAGCACTTCAGGACCAAAAACCTCTAAATGGAAGACTTACAATGAGGAACAATAAACGTCATCAGTTATGGTTGCCCTAGAATAGCAAAAAGGAGAGAAGAAAAGAAGAAAACTAAATTTTTCTTTCAAGAAAAAAATAAAATTAATCCTTTACAAAGACGTCTAAAACTATTAAAACTAAATTACATAAGAACTCTACTTTGAAGCTGGCATGGTAAGTGTACTCCCACTATCCCAGTACTTGACAGGTGGAGGCAGAAGGATCCTACAAGGTCATGCTCAGCTACATGACTGATTTCATCCTGGGCTACGTGAGATCTTGTCTCCAAAAAATGACTTCTACATTGACTCTGATTGCTATGACTAAGAACAATTAGGAGGATATAATGAACAGCAAGTCAGGATTCAACTTCTAGAAATATAGATTCAGTAATTACTTTCACCACCCAAATCAGATTATATTGTACTTATGAGAAAAGGGAGAATGAAAATAACCATCACATAAAACCAAGAAGAGTAAAAATATAGCTAAATCAAGTTTTCCCAAGGAAAGAAAGACATACATTAGGTACTGCTGCTATCTCAGTCTTTTAGAGAAAAACTTACAAATTTTAGAAAATGAGGATGAAAGTGGCCTCTTAATCAAACCTATGAACCAATTAGTAATAATACTAAACTAAAAATATAAACCAATACATTATCTTAAAAAATAGTAGTGTTTTGACAAAAAGTTAAAAAAGCTGGGCATGGTGGTGCACACCTTTAATCCCAGCACTCGGGAGGCAGAGGCAGGCAGATCTCTGTGAGTTTAAGGCCAGCCTGGTCTACATAGTGAGTTCCAGGACAGCTGGGCTACAGGGAGACCCTGTCTCAAAAAAAAAAAAAAAAAAAATTAGTGCTACTGGGTTCTGTGTTGTTGCTTTATTTATAGTGGAGGGCAAGGACAGCAGTGAAGAAATGACAAACAAACAAACAAACAACAACAACAACAAAAAACCCAAAACCCAGAGAAGAACAAACTAAAAGCAGTTCATGTGAACACATCAGGCTCCAGTGACGAGGGCTCCCTGGTGGATGATAGAATTCCTGCCGTATTTTGATATTTTAGGGAAACTAAAAGAAATTAATGAAAAAACTAAAATTTTTATTATTCTCCTTCTCTAATGTCTTCTATGCTTGTTTCTACCTAAATATGGATGCTAATCAACCTTTATAAAGTCGTAAGTTCTATAAAATAGACTGTACAAGGCCATAAAATTCTAAATTACATCATGAAAGTTATTACACAGCTTTGACAAACAACTGGCAATAAAATTAATCAAATAATTATTAAGCAGATATTTAATTAGTCTATACACATGTAAAAATAAGCATGTGGTGAACAAAGTATGAAATTATATATAAAATAGTTTCTTAATTGTATAAGCACCTAAAATAATAAACAATATTCATATATTCAACAGAGATTGGAATTTGACAACTTCTGGGCATAATTCAGTCAAATTTAAAGTAACAATTTGAAAAAGAAAATATGCATAAAAACCCATTTTATTCACATAAAGTTTTGGCAAAATGTAAATAAAGGTATCTATTCTAAAGCATGATACTATACACATTATAGCTGAAGTAATTTCAATGCATTCATTTTTTTAGTGCAATATATAATCATTAAGCTGAACTCTTTAGTTGGAGAAGCCACTAAAAGAAGTTCAAAATATTTCTTACAATTTTTGTATGACTGTGACTAATCTTTTAGAGCTATTTATTTTCTTCAAAGTAGCCTTTGTACAGAATTTGGATCACGTACCCATGCCTCTGTTTGAATGGGCTTGATATTGCTTAGTAGCACCTCTTCATAGTTTCCGTAATCAATGAATTTAACAACTGCTGTCATACCAGAAGAATGGAGGGCTTCAACTTCTGCTCGGTAAAACTGAGGAAGCAAAAAGAAGTTTTAAATATGACATCGATACTGTCTACAAGGCAGTGTCTATTCAACCAGTATTTCTTAAGAAGTTCACTGGAATGCAGAAATGCTGAAGGTGACAAAGTTCATATTCTCCAACTCTTCTAAGATGGGTCACTTCAAGTATGTACCAGGACAGAGTTTATTTTTAACTAGTATATTTTACTAATAACTAGTTCATCTCATGCTGCAAAAGTATTAAACTAATCCATGTTTTCTTCTCATGTATGGATGCAAGCAAGTTTAGAGTAACATGCTGGAATTTCTTTATTTTAGGATCTTAATATACCTCTCTTTCCCTCTATTATTTTTTAGACTATACTATGGTGTTAAAAAAGTGTTCTGAGTACATATGCCTCAATTTTAAGCTTCTCAATTTATGTTGGTTTAAGTAAGTTCAACAGTCATACTGTATCCAAGGAAAACAAGTAAGTCAATGCCTCTTAGGAACTTACAGTTTGGTCTTTATCGCTTGTGATTATGTAGAATTACTGAATGGGTGCAGTATTTCACTTGTCTGGTTTACATCTTCAACTCTCTAAAATATAGCCCTGACACAGAGGTGAGTATTAAAAAGCCTTATTTAAGAAATATAGCCCTAAATAAAGCCATATATTTAATTCAAATCCCCTACAGTTTAATAAAAAGATAATTTATGTGAAAAAACAACTTTTTTTTTTCCTGTTTTTTGAGAGAGAGGAATTCACTATGTGGACCAGGTTGGTCTTGATCTCACAGAGATCCACCTGCCTCTGCCTCCCTAGTACAGGGATTAAAGGTGTGTACCACCACGCCTGGCAAAATAACTTTCATATAATGTGTAATTTGCTGTAATAAGGTTGTAGTGATGTGGCATTTAATAAAGCTGAAAAACTTAGAAAGAGCTTCCTTAAGTAGATGGAATGGATTCAAAGATGAAGAGTTTAGCCAAGTAAAGGATATCTAAGGGACGTCATGGAGACATGAAGATAAACAGAGAAACTAAAAGCAGTTTTAATTGATTATGATGTGAGATCTCTAGTCAGCAACTAACAAATTATGATCAGTAAGCAGTAAGGGTCAGACAGTAGAGGGAATACTGACACAGAGTTTGTATTTCATGTACAAGGTGAAAGATTTTAAGTAGGAAGAATGACATGGTCTAAGACCATGATCCTGTGATGAAAGTTATCAATGATAAATTTGACAGGAAGAAGACTAAGGGAGTGGAAAACAATTCGGGGGTTGTTATAACAATCCAGCTGAAAGGGCAAAATTAACTGAATTAGTTTTGTAGTGGAGAGATGGAAAACTGCTTTATGGGAATAACATTAGAGAGAAGGCAAAATACTATAAGGAATGTTTTAAAGCATTATATCATACTAGTTGATCATCCCCAAAATATCATTACCATGAAATTGAAGCATAGTTTCTTAATGACAATTCTCTTTAAATTTTTATTTTTGTTTCTGGCTGAAAAATGGGAAAGTTGGCTATTCTTGGAAAAACATTAAAAATCTACCTCAAGTTAGATGGCTTCTGAAGATAAGGAGTTCCATCTCTTCACAGAGTAACTATGGCTTATTTCTAATATTTAAGAGTACAATCTAGAATCCAAAGACCCTCATCCTAATCTGAAAGAATATATACCATTGTAAATCAAAGTAATCATCTTAAAAATCACCTAGTTTTTATTCAAAGAATACTGTCATAGCTCAAAACATTCTGAATATCAAGATGATTCATAACATTATTGCAAATATATTTAATAAAATCCACAAAAGAACTCATTACATTGATTTTTATACTTACAATTACAGCTAAGATTAAAATTCTATTAAAATTTTTATCACGTGCTGGGAAGCATTTGGGTATCAACACACACTGCCAGAACTATCTTATACATCCCTAACTTAGTACTTAGCAGCTTAGTTATGGTTTGTTCAATATTCAATTAATACTTGCTGAAGGCATGTGTCTGCCAAGTTTGATCACTGAACACAGGTAGATCTGTTCTCTGCTGCTCCCCTCATTTCTGATCATTCATTCATATCCATTCCTTTGCTTTCTTTCGGCAGCAGACAAGAATAACAAGGAGCTATCCAGGCTCCTGAAGAAGGCTGGTTTAGACTTGGCATGGGTTGACCATTATAAAGTTGCTTTTATTACTTAACACATAATCTTTGTGGGGATTTCAATGAAAGCATGAATCATTCACCAGATCTTACCAACTTAAGATCTAAATTTGAATTTGAATCCAATCTCTTATTAAATGGCTCTTATGCAGGTCAACTCACAACAATGTCATCCAATATAGAAAACACTTTCCCTAACCTCTCACAAAAGCATCTGACTCAGTGACATTCTTCTAAGGTATATAATCCTAGATGGATAATGACTTACAACCACTTTACTTTTTTTCTTGCCTCTGAATGAGGGAGAAGTAGCTAAATATAAGGAATCTCTCACTATCCAAATCCGCTTCCTTAACTGTGGAAAGTAATAAGTGTTTGAAGAGTCTGCTTCATGAAGACCTACATCTGCTTTCTAACCCTCCTTCAGAGGAATGTGAAATAGTCCCCACCAATGAGGTTTAAATAGTCTGCTCATATTCCTGAGGTTTTTGCTTTATTAGAAAAGGAACAGAAAGACACAAAGTGTTCTTTCCTCTCTTCCTTTTATCCTTGAATAAGGATTTAATAGCCAAAGATGCTGCTCCTGAACAAATACCATCCCCTATTCACGGGAAAACTGTGAAAGTCAACACCACATAGCTTCACCACCCTATTTCCTTGTTGCAACTCTCAGGTAATGATTAACACCTTCTTTACACTTCATCTTTCACTGAATATATCAGGGCCTGATCCCAGATCCCAAGTCTGATAATATCCTTATAAAGGATCCATTTAAATTCCCTAGTCTGAATTTCAGCTCCTTGAAATCCTCAATTACCTCAATCTACCACTCTCTTTAGCCACATCTACTCATGGGCACACTTTTCTGTTATCAATTAAAACTACTCTAACTTTTGACACGAGTATCATATCTACCCAGAGCCCTCATCCTATAACTCCTTTACATCTTCAGTCTTTGAACTCTATTTTATTATATGTATCCCCTCCTGAATTACCGAATTAAGAGAGCTAACTATGAAATTTGTATACTGTGGGAAGATTAGACATACAGAGAAAAAAACAGTATCCCTGCCTTCAAGGAATTTAATCTTATGAGGGAAAAGAGATAACAATCTAGGAATGAAACCGTGAATATTTAAAAATTAAGCTAAATTTTTTTTAAAAAAGTGAACAAGGGGACCAGAAAGATGACTCAACTGGTAAAGGCACTTTCCACCAAGACCAATGACCTGAGTTTGAGCTCCAGGACCCACATAGTGGAAGGAGAGAACCCACTCCTCCAAGTTGTCTTCTGACCTCCACATGTGGGTGGTGGCATGCAATAAATAAAAATGTAATAAAAAGTGAACGAAGCCCTGATTGAGAAAGAAAATCACTATGAAAGAGGTCAAAGATGATTATTCAAGGAGGTGACATGCTGGGCAAAAGGGGAGACACCGGCCCTGCGCATTCTCTGCTCTTCCCATTCTGACTCCCCTTCTTGGCCTTACTTGGTGCTCTCCTACCTCTCCCTGGAGCCACTGTACTTTCTGCATTTTTTTTCTTGTTTCCTTTCTACTTTTCCTCTTAGTCACCATATAAAGGAGAATTATGGAAGATCTAAATTATGGTTCTAGTAAAATTATTTATCACAAGGTAAATAACTAGCTTATATGCTCTTTTATTAAGTTGGTTGAATTTTTTAATTTGCATAATTTTGTACCACTGAAATGATTCTTTCCCTTTGGAATCAGTAAAATTTGCAAGAAAGAAAAACATTTGTAATTCAGAAAATGATAAATGAAATAAAGTTGAACCAGACTTAGTTCCTTTTAAAATGTTTTTCACATGTAAGCTAAAGTGAAGCATAACCAAATATTGGGGGATATTCTGCTTAAGTATCCACGAAATATATTAAATATTATGTTTTCTCTTTTATCAATTATATACCTACAAATCTCTTGAAAGGCTTAAAATAGGTACAACTGTAGAATAAAGTGTATGGTCCAAAGATAATGCTTTCTATAAGATCACACCAGACTATTACATTCAGTAATAACAGGACACAGCAGCATGCCTATAGCATCCGTACCTTGTTGTCTTCCCAATAAAGTGCAAAGCATTCATCTCCGGGTTTCCACACTTTTGCATACTCCATAGGAATAGATGATTCTATCACTTTTTCAGGCTTAATTGGCCCAGATCTTCTTTTGGGCCCACTATTATAAAATACTTTTTCATCATAGGGTACAGCCGAGACAGGTCCTACTGGCTTAATCGGTCCTACTCGTCTTCCTTTCAGTGACATTTCTGTTTCTCCATTTGGAACACCAACAAAACTATTACTTCGGACAGGATTCTGGTAATCAGTATTTATACTAAACTGTTTTTCAATTTTCACACCACTGAAAGCTTCATTATTTATTGTCCGTGATTTCCTGTCATAAAAATGATCAGGATTACCTGTTTGGTTTTCTCTTTTCCCACGTTTTTGATTACTATAATCTATGAATTCTTGAGGAAGTGGATTTTCTTTTGCCTCTACATACAATGGTCCTCTTCCTGATCTGCTTTGCATAGAGTTATCTCTTTTTTTAAATGCACCATCATTGTGCTGAGAACTTAAAGGATACGCAGCATCTTTAGTTCTGTCATATCTAGAATATGGTCTATCGCACTTAATTCTTTCTTCTGACCACACTTCAGAACCATAAGAACTACCCAGCCTTTCAGAACCTCTATTTCTAGGTAATGTGCTGACTTCTAAAGCTGACTTTGAATTGTGAGTGTCTCTTTGAAAACGAGGAGGTTTTTCATTTCTCAGCTGCCTGGTATCATTTCGAGGAAGATGTCTTGGTTGATTACTATCTTTTATTCCATTCTGTTCAGTATTTGACATTCTGTGCTGTCCTTGATGAAGGTGCTGTGGCTGTGACTTAGGTTCTAAAAGGCAGAAGTACATCATGCATATTAGAATGAAGACTGCATTAATAATTACTTAGCTTACAATGCCTAAAATTATTATATTGGTAGATTACTGAACTATTATTTTAACACCTTCTCCCATCTTCCCACCTTGTTACCTTAACTACCTGCTTCTTTTGAGTTCTGTGTATCTATCATGCAGACTTCCTGGTTAGCCACATTAGAAAAGTAAAACAATGATATGAACCAAGAAAAAAACAGTGGATAACCTTAAGTCATTTGTCTTTGTTACTGAATGTTTGCATTCTTCCAACATGTCTATCGATTTCCCACAATATTAATGAAACATAACTGCAAGCTGCCAGCACAATGCTCGCACACTTCCTTTCTGAATCTCTCTCTCTTTGGCTCACAGTAGCTATCATTATCAAGCAGGCTTGAGGCTTAGCAACAACTGTTCCTTTTCATATCTGTCTAGATATGAAACTGTTTGCATTACAAGCACATTACTTTAAAAAATTATTGATTTCTTGATCTATCAACATTAAGGGCAGGCACGACTTGGAAGTACAGTAAAAAGTATTGAATGTTACTAATCATAAAAGTACAGGTAATGTCCAACTTGAAACCAAAAGTAGTAAATGGCAAATATGCACTACTAGATCATACTTTAATAGCTATATTTTTGTTCTATTTCAATTTATGACATGTTATTTACATTTTCTTCTGTCGTTTCACGTCTCTAATGAACAAAGCTTCTCTTGTCATACATCATACATCATTGTCAAGATATAGGTAATAATTATCCCTACATCTCCCCAGGGCCACCACATTTCCAAAGATAGGCACTAATAATATGTGGCTGAACCTATTCCCTGCATTGCAAGAAAACCACCTTCATTGCCTTCTAGATATTAAATCAATTTAATATGTCCCTATACTTTCTAACACCCACTGGAAGAGGGGTCCAGATAAAATGCTGAGAATAAGAATAAAGGAAATATTTAAAAGTTGTAAGTCATAGACTAAAAGTTGAGATTCAAAATGGCAAGACAAATAAAACTCATCAAAGCAGAATGACTAGAGCCAGAAGCCAGTCTAATAGAACTTAAGTCCACTTCAAGTAAAATGAAGTTATTTTCTAAGTAAATTTCTACTTCCAGGCCAACCACCTACTAATTACGACAAAAAAATAAAGAATTTTCAAGTATTACGAATAAAGAATTTTCAAGTGCTTAAGTCTTTAAACACTGGCCAAGCTCATTTAAAGAGACATGTTTCCCAAGAATATCTGCCTTATAAACACAAGAATGTCTTATTTTAACAATTTAACATTTTTCTTATTTTATAAACTTCTTATTTGTGTGTCTGTACATTTGAGTGCTATTAGGGGGTACTCATGGAGGACAGAAAAGAATAAAGAATTTTCAAGTGCTTAAGTCTTTAAACACTGGCCAAGCTCATTTAAAGAGACATGTTTCCCAAGAATATCTGCCTTATAAACACAAGAATGTCTTATTTTAACAATTTAACATTTTTCTTATTTTATAAACTTCTTATTTGTGTGTCTGTACATTTGAGTGCTATTAGGGGGTACTCATGGAGGACAGAAAAGGGCCTCTGAAACTGTTGTTACAGGCAGTTGTGAGCCTTCTGACATGGGTGCTGGGAACTAAACTCAGGTCCTTTGGAAGAATAGCAGGTACTCTTTTTTTTCCCCCACTAGTCCAAATTGAATTTACTGTAAGGATTGCAATAAACACATAACTGGATTTCAAAGACCTAGCTTTTTTTAAAGTAAAATATCTCATTGCCTAACTGGGTTTTTTTGTTGTTGTTGCTGTTGTTTTTTAACTTTAAAAAAAAATATTGAGAATTTCACACATGCATATAAGGTGTTTTTCTTATCTAATCCATAAAAGATTAAAAGAGTACATGAAGTTGTCAGGAAAAAAGTGATGGGGAGATATGGCAGCAAGTACTCTTAATCACTGAGCAATCTCTACAGAAATTGCTGTCAATTAGGTTTGCTGTCAGCTAGATCTGAAACCATATTTTGGGAGCTTTCAGGTCTGTGGTGTTTAGGGATCTACTTTTCTTTATTCCAGTTAGGGTCAATGATATATATGACTGTCAAACACTTTAAAAAAAAAAAAAAAAAAAGAAAAAGTAGGGGCTGGAGAGATGGCTCAGCAGTAAAGGGCAGTAGCTGCTTACAAAGGACCCAGGTTCAATTCCCAGCACCTATAAGGCAGCTAACAACTGTTCTTAACTCCAGTTACATGGGAATCCAGTGCCCTCTTCTGACTTACATGGGCATTGCACAGCACAGGTACACTTACATGCATGCAGGCACTACACTCATACAAATAAAATAAATATAATAATTTTTAAAACTAGGTCACTAAGCGGTTAAGACCACTGACTGCTCTCGCAGGACCTGAGTTCAATTCCCAGCACCCACATGGCGCTACAAACCGTCCTTAACTCCAGTTCCAGGGGAATCCGAAGCCCTATTCTGATTTCTGCAGCATTGCATGACATGGGTACACTCACATACATGCAGGCAATACACTCATATACATAAAATAAAAATAAATAAAATATTTTTTAAAAAGTAGGTCATTATGAAAGTAAGTATGA